ATCATATCAAATCTAACATATAATCATGGATCATATCAAATCTAACATATAATCATGGATCATATCAAATCTAACATATAATCATGGATCATATAAAATCTAACATGTAATCATGGATCATATCAAATCTAACATGTAATCATGGATCATATCAAATCTAACATTTAATCATGGATCATATCAAATCTAACATATAATCATGGATCATATCAAATCTAACATGTTCTTATTGTCATGTGTTGCCATGATGACTTCTCTCTTTAGTTCTCTAGCGCCCTCTGTCGCTCCAGGAAACCGGAAGTCACCCTTTTAAACGCCACATTGCGCATGTGTGAGCCTCTCGTGTCTTCGACCTCTACTTCACACCGGTGAGACCCTCTCTCCTCTGTCTCTGTCTCCTGTCCTCTGTCTCTGGTTTAGTTCAACATTAAGCCACAGCTCCGGTGTGTAACTCTGTGTGTGTGTGTGACTCTGTGTGTGTGTAACTCTGGAACCTCAGCTCCTGTCTCTGACTGCTAGCTTGTTCTTTAGCATCATTTCTCTGTCTGCAGCTTATATTGACCTTAAGTCGTGTCCCCGAGTCTGTCCGCTTAACTTTGCACACTCTGTCCTGTCTTGTGTTGTGTTGTGTTGTGTTGTGTTGTGTTGTGTTGTGTTGTGAGGACACGTCGAGTCTGACCGCTGGTTGTTGTGTTTTGTGGTTTAGTGCAGACAGCAGCCTGTGAATCACCTCCAGCCTCCTGTCGTTGACCTGAGCCGCTCGTCCCGTCGTCATGTTCGCCTGCGCCAAGTTCGTCTCCACGCCCTCCCTGGTGAGTGGGTCCTCCTGGTGTGTGGGTGTTTGCAGACTCCTGCTCCTCGTGTACTTTAGTTACTCTGAACCTGCACATGTGCACGGAACTCACGCTTCTATGGTGTAGCTAACAGTGCTAACACTGGCTCTCAGCTGTGTAGCCTCTTTGACCCTCAGCTGCAGGGACAAACCTCAGTCTGTCCACTGTGTCCTCATGTACAGCTGTTTATGCTCCACGGTAGGCTCATGTAATTCTGATCCTTCAAATATCCTGGTCAGTAGTTTGTGCCCTGTAAACATTTGAGTTGTATAATTTATTATCATTAGATCATGATAACGTCCACTGCAGCAATCACTGCAGATTATTATCTCAACTGATCACTTGATTTTGATTTTCAGATTGTTCCTTTAGTCAAAAGTATTGAATTAGATTGAACTTTAGTTAAAGCAGCAATTTGAGAAGCTAGAAGTGTTATTTTTTTGTATTTTGCCTGAAAAACTTAAACCTTCAATTGAATTCTATTAAATTGTTTAAACACATACCTTGTTATTAAGTTTAGTATTTGAGACAGATGACAAATGTCAGTGTATGATGCTGGTAGAAACAATCATCTGTTCAAGTGCATGTGTGTCTGTAATTTAGTATTTGTTTATTTTTATTCTTTTCTGACTACAGATCCGTGCTGGATCACGGGTACTGTACAGACCACTCTCAGCAGCAGTAGTGTCAGATGCCAGGAAAGCAGAGGTGAGTGACAAACTGTTCTAGAGATAGAGAAAGGTATCACAGTCATTGATCTCCTTTGCTCTTCTTTTTTTATTCATTTGGGATGTCCGATTTTGTGTGTGTGTGTGTCAGTGTGGGCTCGAAAAGGGAAGGAGGGAGAGACGAGTCAGGAGAATCTGAATGAATCTTGTGCAGCTGCGCTGTAAGAAAGATTTTACTTAGTAAAGAAAGTATTGGTCATTATGTGGGGATCAGTGTTGATATTGAGGTGATGGTCACAAGTAATTCAGAGATGAAAAAAAACTGTTTGATTCATAGAGAACCTGCAGCGGGTCAGAGGACGTCAGCTCACTAGGAGGTCCTTCATATGTGGCCCAGACTACCTCTGAATGTGGTCTGATCGTATGTGTATCAAATTTGAGTTCACACCTGTACTTGGTACTGTCCACTTGAGATTGTGTCACAAAAACCACATGTTAAAACTAAGCTCATTTAATGCTTGTGTTTCAGACTGCCTCCCTCCTTGCACCACAGTCTATCGCAGCCTCTCAGCAGCAACTGGCAGTGCGGGCTTTCCAGACCAGTGCCGTGAGCCGCGACATTGACACTGCCGCTAAGTTCATTGGTGCTGGAGCTGCCACGGTGGGAGTGGCTGGATCTGGAGCTGGAATCGGAACAGTGTTCGGTAGCCTTATTATCGGTTATGCCAGGTAAATTAAACACATCTGTCATTTCAGGGCATTTTTTAAATCTCCGCCAATAAAAGGGAATAACTGTCCAAGATATTATTAAAGCTCTGTGCCTCTAACTTCTTCTCCTTTTCTACAGGAACCCCTCGCTGAAGCAGCAGCTGTTCTCTTATGCCATCTTGGGCTTTGCTCTGTCTGAAGCTATGGGTCTGTTCTGTCTGATGGTTGCTTTCCTAATTCTGTTCGCCATGTGAACTAGCTCAGCATTTGGTGTTAAAGGGAAACGCATCACAAAGTCATCTTGTTACTTATTCCCAGTTATTAGTGTTTCTTAAAAGATTGTGATGTTTGAAACTCTGGCAAACCCAAGTCATTTTAAATGACGGTTTGACACCATATTGTATTTTTAATCAAATGTTTTTGTTCACAAACATTCAACTAATAACAGAAGTAAAACAATTCATCAACTGTGTGTGTACATTTGTTGTGTGTTTTTACATGTGTCCAGGTTTATTTTGTGTTTTATTTCACCATAGTTAGGTTGCAACCAACAATCATTTTCATCAATACAATTGGTTTGTAAATAATTTTCAGTAATATTTGGTTGTTTACTCTATACTCATCATCATATTCTGTAGCTCAAGTGATCATATTGAAATTGCTTAGTTTTTTCTAACCAGCAGTAAAAATCCCAATGATGTTGAGTTTACTATCACACAGAAAACAAAAACACTATTCCTCTTTGAATTGGAGATACATTTCTTTTAATAGCTTCTGTGTCGTGTGAGCCACTGACTCCAAACAAACTGAACAGTGTTCTTACCCAAGATAAACAGGGCACAGGGATTTTAGTGCTGCTTATATTTTAGATTAATATTACAAAACATTCATATTTTATCAATAGCTCAATTTCATGTGACCCTCTGACTTCACATCATATCAGATATTATTGCTTCACTAGACAAACAGGACACACCTGTTTGTTTGCTATTAGTCTGTCCTCCAATTTATATGAATAATATTTGTAAATTAAAATATCAATAGCTTTCATGGCAAGTGACCCACTGACTCCAAACCAATGCTTAACTGCATTATTACCCAACATAAACAGGACAAAGCTCTTGGTGTTTCTGATTTATAAATATCACATAATTCATTCTGTGGTATTGTTAGCAAGTCTCTCAAGAGAAGCTGGAAGACTGGGAACCAACTTGTTGATTAATTACTTCCGTTACTGGTAAACTGTGGAAATAATGAAACTGCCAGGTGGAGCCCCGACAGCAAATCTATAACATCATATAAGTGTGCACTGAAAAAAGTTATTAGAGCATATAAATATAACAATCATATATATTAAAAATAACTACAAAAAATATGTAGTCCTGGACTTAATCTGCATCTGTTTAAAAGACAAGACATTGTGAAATTTGTCCTTAGCAACATGTATTTATGTAAACCCAATTGTTTCTTAAGTAAATCAAGCAGGATATTTGTATTAGTGTGAGAAAAATATTTTGCCTCAGAAGATGTATGTCGTGAACAAATCAGAGAATTACATGTGAAGTACTTAATCCACAAACAGGGCTTAGTTATAATCAAAAAACACACAAACTAGATTAAATCCATCAAGTGTTAATATTAGATTTGTGACATATTCATCTTACACCACAAAGGTTTCCATGTGGAACTAAAGGAAAGTTCCAGGTTGCGGGAGGACGGATTTGAAGAACGTACCTGTCGGCGTCTGCTGGTGTTTGTCGTGACAGTGATTCCAGAAGAAGGAAGATATATCTGGACGTGTGAGTTCTGCAGTAAAGACACGAGCACCTAAATAAATGTTCGTCCTACACCAGGTGCACAGTGTTTGGAGGACAAGTAGCTTTACAGCCGAGAAGCTAACGCTGTGTTTCTGTCGCTGTCACACAACTCAGAGAGGAGCCGCTAACACACAGGTACAGGAAACAACAGGGACGAGGACTGTTTGTGTTTTACATTATTGAAGTGTCTCCCTCACTGGTTTTTACAAGAGACTCCATTTCTGTCTAAGCCTCTGGGATGGATTCCACAATAAGTTGGAAACTTTCCTTTTAGCTTCTGATCCATGTTGACTGGATCCCGTAAGTTCAAGTGGACCCACTGAATTACACCAAAATCAGTCATGGCCATGAAGCCAGTTTGAGTAAATCTGGTCATAAGGGAAGCACAGACAACACAAGCCAGATAGACTGTGATAGTTACTGTGTGTGTGATGCAAACTTTCTCCATGAAACCACCACCAGCCTGGACTGTTGACAAAAGGCAGCTTGGGGCCATAGCTTCATCTTGCTGATGCCAAAATCCTGACCTGGCCATCAGCTTGTTTCTGCAGGAATTGAGACCGAATCAAATATAGTCCTATATTCCCACTGGGACAATAGTTTGTCCCAGTGTGGAAAGTTGTATTAGGCCAAAGTGCTACAGCAGCTACAGAACAGTACATTCTGCAACAACCAACCAAAAAACAGTAAGGACAAGTGTAAGACCCAGAATAATAAAAAGTGAGTTGAATATTGCACCTGCCCTAAAAACACTTAAAAAGATATACGCATGAAATATGAAATACAAACACTTGCATTAAAACCTGAAAGCCAGAGTGTAAAATGTGCGAGTGCAAATCTTATTGAGATACATGGTCGATTCAACATTTTTCCATATTTAGTTCTGTGATAGATGATGGGATGAATGAGAGCTTGAGGCGGTTGGTTTGTCCCAACATTGTCCTGCAGTTGTTTCCCACAGGATAAACTCATTAGCCATCAGGGGCAGTGAGTATAGGAGACACAATCCATTATATAAATGTTGAAACTGAATCGGAAAATCTTACACTTCCAGTGTTTTTGTTGAGTAAAAGTGGAATTTTGATCATAAAGACTTTGTTGATAAAGTATCCCTTTGCTTCGTATTTAATCAATCTATAATAAAGTTTACATGAATATAAGATTCAAAGCTCTGAATCAGAATTACAATCAGAAAATGTATCCACCAATCAGAGTGCTGTCGTATAGCTTGCTTATTTAGTATAACGCTCCTCACAATGGATGCTCTAAAAAGTGATAATGTGGCTCTCTATAACATCTGCCCTACATCCTGTTTTCAACAGCTTATCAAAAAGCACAAAAAAGAAAGATCTTCATGTCAGCCGGTTCTGGACCTCTTTGACCAGCAGTACAGTCAGGAACTTGGAGAATTGTGGGCGTCTACAAGGTAGTTTTCTTTCTGAAACTGTTGATAGCAGATTCTACACAGACAGTGTTTATATCCTCCTTCTGTTGGAATTTCTTCTCCCCTGCAGGTCGGCGCTCCTGGACCCTCAATCCTGGCAGTATGGGGTCCTGCTGAACCGCTTTACAGCAGTGACAGATGTCACACAGATTCTCCAGTCACAGGGTTTCTCCAGGTTCCTGCCACAGACTGATGTCTCCTCACCACTGTCCAATTCTAAAAACCAGACAGGAAAAGACTCCAGTCCTCAATGTGTCAGCGCCTCTCCTGCACTCAGTCAGGACATTCGATCCAATCCATCTGTCACTTTGCCCCATCCGTCACTACAGTGTTATATCCACGCACACCCACTAAGGTTTCCCTCTCAGCCTCACCGGCATGGCCAGCTGAAGCAGTATTACCTCCTGAACGCTGCCTCCCTGCTTCCTGTGCTGGCTTTACAAGTCAGAGATGGGGACAAAGTTCTGGATCTTTGCTCCGCCCCAGGGGGAAAAGCCTTAGCCATACTGCAGTGTGCCACCCCAGGTAAAACTAAATGGAACTAAATTTGTCTGATTTTATTTAAATTGTGCTCAGAGATTAAGGATTATAGATATGTTAATAGGTTAAGTTAATAGTTAATAATAATACATTATA